ATCCACTCCAGTGACTTGGCTTCGTTGGGCAGGGCTTGTCACTGGAGCCCTTGCCCCCCTGCACTGCTGGAATTCCCGTGGTATTTTGGGTTGCCCACACACACACACACACACCCACCACACACACACACACACACACACACACGCGCGCGCGACATGACATACCTATATACACACAACATATATACACAGACGGTAGAGTAGGAACAATTTCTTGTTCCGGAAGTTATCGCGGATCCTCCCTAGACCGCATAGCGTTGTCGTTTCTAGATGTTGGGTTTAGGGTTTTGGCTTCATCTTTTAGGGCGTAGGGTTCCTTGTGGCTTCAGCCTTCTTGTTAGTAAAAGTCTCCGACATGGGATGCCTCCAGCATCTGAAGCCTGCCAGGTGCACACCTCGCCTGAGATTGTAGAGGCACCTCGGGCGGGATTGAGAGCTGTGGAGTTTTCTGGCTTTCGGGTCTAGGGCCTACGCTTTAAGGTTGCGGTTCAGCTTTGTGTTTATGGGGAAGTTGGGAGAATCGGTGACTGCTCTTGCGCGGTCTTGTGGCTGACATTGGGCAGATCGCCTTGACCGTGGGCTTTGGTTTGCGGTTCATGGTGCTGAATTTCAAACTTAAACCAGCACCCGAAACAGCCTTAAACCCTAAACCCTAAACCCTAGACCCTAAACCAGCGAACCTTGAGCTCCTTCAGCCCCACAGAAGACTCTACCCCCTAAGCCCCACAGAAAATGTATGCCTTGAGCCCTAAACCCTACAGAAAACCTTAAAAGCCCCAAACCCCTAAGCCCTACAGAAAAGCTGTAAACCCTGCAGAAAACCACAGAAAATCCACAAACCCTACAGAAAACCCTAAAAGCCCCAAACCCGCAGCCCCATGTTTCCAGTCCGGAAGGAGCGACGCTCGATGGAGGGTGCCTTGGCCCTATGCTGGAAGCTGTAAAGAGGCTAACATAGGGGCCTTAATAATCAGAATCGAATTTGGGGACCATTTTGCTATAGTTATCATAAGTTCATAAGGTATATTTAGAAAAGGTTTTGGGGACCATTATACTATAGTTATAATAAGGAACCCCCACAATAGTATAGGTAATAATTAGAAGAGGGTTTTGGGGGCCATTATACTATAGTTATAATCAGGAACCCCAAAATAGTATAGGTAATAATTAGAAGAGGGTTTTGGGGGCCATTGTACTATAGTTATCATAAGGAGCCCCCACAATAGTACAGGTAATACTGTTGATGGACAAAATCCTGCATGACCCCATATAACTAAACTATGGGATTTATGGTACTATACTATATTTGGGTCATGCAGAATTTTGTCCATCAACAGTAGTTAAGGCCACCCCCCCATATTAGGAGGGTTCAGGGTTCTGGGGCTCCTTTCAGGGACCCTTAGGGGTGCTCTGAAGTTCCTTTAAAGGGAACCCCTGGAGGGCTCTAGGGTTCTATGATAGGGTTCCCTAAGAGGGCACCATAAAGTTCTAGTTTAGGGTTTAGGGTTT